TCAAGAGTATTTTTTCTTGTCAATGTTCTCAAGAGCTTGGACTCTAGATCCAATGTGTTTTTTTTCCAGTGTTCTGTGATCAGCGCAACTGATTCATTTCATTTCGTTTTGTTGGTATCAATTTTTTTCAAAATTTAGGTCGTATTTTCGTAATTTCGGATCAAAGTGAAAAAATTGAAAGCATGAGATTTTCTTTGGCGAATGATTTATTATTTTTTAATTTGAACTCTGGAAAAAGGCATTGCTGGTCAGCCAAAAACGTTCAGATCAAAATTCGCTTAGTAGCAAGGTTGCTGGTAAGCAGGGTAAGAGGGGTAAGAAGGGTAAGCGGGCTCGGCGCAGACCTCTTCAACGATGACTGCGGGGGCGGCTTCCTTCTCGTAGAAAGCGGGGGCGGCGTACTCGTCGACAACAACCGGTTTCTGGGAGTAGACGTTGAGGGCAGCGGACTGCTTGTGCTTGATGATGTAGGGCTTGCCGAAGTAGTTGATCTCGTAGGGGGCAGATTCGTGGGCGATCACTCCTGGCTCGTTGTACATGATGTTAGCGGGGGCAGGCAGCACGGACTTGACGACGATGGGCTTGATCTCCGGAAGGGCTGGCCTGGGGCAGGACACCTTGGCACGAGGGTAGGGGTTGGCGGCGGCGAGGTTGAGGACGGCCAGGGCGGCGACGATAGCGACGAAAGCCATTTCGGATAGATGGAAGGTGATGCTGCTGCTTAGAGATGAACAGAAGAGTGATGCTTTCCTCGACGGAGAGTAAAGTTTTTATAGCGATCGACGAGGAAAAACTTGGTGGCCGAAATTTCGGGGCTAGGCACAGGGAAAAACCGGTTGTTTAATCTTCATGCGCAGCCGAAAGTTTAGATTTTCTGTCCCAAATAACCCGTTGAGATGGTTGACACAATACTGGCGGATAAGGTGATTTTGTCATCCGCGAAAAAAAATCGGATGGACTCGCAGATTTTGACGTTTGGACCCGGAAAAATGGTGAAAATATGAAGTCGGAATCCAAACTTGATCTAGATTTGAAGACGCTCGGTAAAGCTCATCTAGAATCAAGCGTGGTGAAGTAGCATTAAGCTAAGATATTCGACTTCACACTCCTCCGCTGTAACTTTTCCTGTTAATTTTGTCCGAGAAACTGGACTTGATTTCGTTTCTACTATCATGAAACAGTTTTTTCTTTGACTGGTGCAGCGTCAAAGATTTTTGAGTTTGAAAATGTTCATCTGGACTTTAGTTAGATCTTAGTGTCTTGGACTACTTTGCTTACATAAAGACGCAAGAAATGAGCGAATAGAAAGCTTCTGATTTGTTAATTAATTTAGACTAGATCAAGGAGAAAATAGGAGCCCGCATTGAATAGCAAAAGTGCGTGACCACCTGACCTACCCACGGTTGCTTGTCAGCCAATCAGACATCCGACGACCACTTCTGAATTCCTTTTGGAAAATAATATGCGGAATTGAAACCATGTAATTTTTTTGAATTTAGCCGATTTCTCGGAAAAAAAGTCCGTGACTGATTTAATGAGGATCTCCTGCTTGTATTAAAATATACTAAATTCCACTTTCTCTAAAAAATACCGCGAAGATCTTGATTTTTGGAATTTCGATTTTCTTCCTCGAGCCGATGTTTTTGATCGTTCCGCTGACTCAAGTGAAAGAAAATTGAAAAGTCAAAAATCTGGATATTTGGTATTTTTGGGAGGAATCGGAATGTAATTTACATCAATAGAAACGACAAATCCTCAAGAAGTCAGTCATGGACACATTTCCCCCGGAAAAATAAGCTAAATTCGAAAAAAATATATGGTTTTGATATGTTATTATCCAGGAGGAATTCAAAAGTATAGTCGTCGAGTATCTGCTCGACTGAAAAACAAGCGCTGGAAATTCAGGCAGTCACGCACTTTTACTATTCAATGCAGCTCTTATTTTCTCTTCGGGCTAGGCTAGATAACGTTATAGGTCAGATTAGGTCGGATAAAGTTAAACTATCGTGCAAAAAATTTGCTGCATCTTGAAATGCTGAAGAATTAATACAAATTTAAAATTACGACGATCTCCAAACTCAAGAGCGTCGATAAGTACCACAACGAGAACCACCTGCTACTATATTCTACTTCGTAACTTTTACCAAATGTTAAACGTTATCAGATACTAGATGGAGATGTTGCATGTGTGAGGAATTTGCGATTTGACTGTTGATTCTTATGTAAAAGTTCGCGAGAAACACACTGAGAAAAAACTATGGCTTATAAACCTATTAGAGGTAAATATGGAACACCACTAATAGTAGTACCTCTACATATAATAATAGCACATATACCTTAGTTATGGTCTCTGTACCTTAATTAGGTACAGAGACCTTAGTATGGTTCACAGACCGAGAATCATTAGTTTATTTACGACTATTATAGGTGTTCCATATTTACCTCTAATAGGTTTATAAACCATAGTTTTTTCTCAGTGCACGATGGTGCCACTGGTTTTCTCTGAAGTCAACTCCCAAGCTCAAAAAAGCTCTCAAGTTAAGGCCAAAATGGAGGGGATATCCCACGCTATCCTGAGAGTCCACCTCTACATCAAGACAAACTCTCCATGCAAAGATAGGGAGCAAATATATTAACAGGGCTGCCACTTTATTTGGGGACTCCAAAACTGAAAACACGGCAACCCCGCTAATGTATTTGCTCCCTATCTTTGCATGGAGAGTTTGCCTTGATGTAGACGTGGACTCTCAGGAAAGGGTGGGATATCCCCTCCATTTAGGCCTCAACTTGAGAGCTTTTTTCGAGCTTGGGAGTTGATCTCAGAGAAAACCAGTGGCTCCATCGTGTTTCTCCCGAACTTTTACATAAGTATCAACAGTCAAATCGCAAATCCCTCACACATGCAACATCTCCATTGGCAGTGACTCAACCTATTTTTTACCCACTCGGCAACAGCGGAGAGTGTGCGGAATAAGGTCTGTCACTTCCATTACTCAGAAACGTCACCGTTGTGCATCATTGGTACTTCATACTTCACCCTCAAATCGTCACCCCTCTGACGTAAGGGCGTATCTCTACTTCCACACGAGCCGTGGGAAGTACGCAGTTATATACGGAGAGCAGGGCCCACGTGGAAATCGAGTTGTGTCCATACGCCACAGGGGAGCGACGAAATGAGAAAAAATACTCGCCGTAAATACGACAGAGAGCTTACGAGCCTCGCCCGGCCCCGTAGATATAGCGCGTTCGTTTTCGTAGACAGGTCGAGAGCTCCTCAGAAAATCGACGTTTTTTCGGGCACAATAGAGGTATTACACACGGCGACGCTGTGGTTTGCGGGAGAAGCAATCGTGAGAGCTCTCGTGACGTTTTTAATTCCAGATCGATTAAAATCGGCCTTTGAGTTCTTAATTAATGAGTCGCGCTCAGTGGCGTGGCTTGTTTTGCGATCTATCGATGTTTCCCCGTTTGAAGCTGTGGTAAATAATCGATTATGAAGGTGTTCGCTGCGAACACCCTGTTTATCGATACTTTTCCATAGGTTTAAATGGCAGATCAATCGATACATTGCAAAGCACGCCACGCCACTGGTCGCGCTCATTTGCCACACCGCGAAACGCTGCTTTTGATCGAATGGGCTACTAGAAAAGTGGTATTGTTGATTTTATGGATCTATTCTATCAATATCTCTCATCGGATGCTGCTATAGATATTTCAGTCGTAAAGAGGGAGAATATAAAACAAAACCAAACAAATCGTATGAGGGATGTATGCGAAGATATTTTCCATGACGCGGATGAAAAATACAGCCAATGAATAGTTTACTATACCTATAAATGCGTTACAGTTGGTAGGATTTTTTAACATTGCAATAAACTTGAGTTTTTTGGTTTTTCTCGAAAAAAAGGATAGGGTTTCTTTGACAGTTCTATCATACTTATCACTTGTCTGTCAATTTTTTTTTTTTTTTTTATATTGAATCTGTTACATTCAACATCAGTCGATGGTTGTTTTAAGAGTTGATGTTCCTAAAAGTCACTTATATTCTAAAATTTAATTTATCATGTGATCATGTTATTGCAATTAAGTCATCGCCAGGAAGAGGTATTTCAACGGTGAAAATGAAAAATAAAGCAATGTATAATAAATGAATATAATTATGAATGGAGTTTTTCCTTTGGGAATGGAAAAGTCACAGCATCTTACTGAAAATGCATTAAACTTACTCATATTTCTGCGAAACGCAGTTCATTTAATGAGGTAATGAGACGAAGTTTTATTTCAAGCATCTCTGCACACTTTGCAAGACACGAAGTGCAGAATGCTGCCGTGCTAAGGAAAAACGCCGAATGAGCAATCGAAAGTTGACAAGTCTCCTCCGAAACAATGTTAATTTTTGAGAAAAGTCATGACTATCTTTCCATGAAAGTTTCAGATAATGCAAATTCAATTGCCAACAAAATTATCTGAAAAATTGGAAGAAAAATATGTATAGGTTCACCAAGAAATTCGTGTTGTATCCAAGGAAATTCGGCAACGCCTGAAGGTTCATACGGCGTTCTTCCTTAGCGGGGCAGAATGGTGGATTGACACTAAATGCCTGATCTACACAATAATTTTATTTATAAGTATATGGCCTCATTTATTCATTAACTTTGCAAAATTTAACTTAAATTAAATACTTTTTGTCTCAAGCCTCAAATTGCGACCAAAATTGGTGACCTTATTGCTCGTTCTGTACGGGAATAAAGTCCATTATATTGAAATTTGTACAGGCTATTTTCGTCTATACCTAATCAGGAAAGCCGGAAATTCCTGTTACAATTAGCAACTCTGAGCCTGCCCAGCGAGTTTCCTCATCAAGACCAATTAATCTGTTGCTCAGAATCACGAGTAAACCTTGCGGTGCTTTAAAAAAAACTGTTATTTTAGTCTCTCGAGAATCAGGTATCGAACTCCGGCGATAAGGCGAGATTCAAAGTATTTCGATTTCGACTCACCTGAATTATTGTAGCGAAGATAAAACCGAAAGACATGAAGACGAAAAAATCTAACGCAGTCGGATAAGGAACTTTAGGTAGGTCTGTCCTCGCCTCCAGACCCAAAAAAGTCATTGTTAACATTGTCATAATACCTGGAACAAGGAACAAACGCCTTCATCATTGTTAATAGATCGTATTCGATACATCAAACGGGTGAGATTGTATCGATATCGATTGGTTCAAAACATAAACATAACCTCAAAAGTAAATTCAGAAAACTGAGAGAACGGGTCTCTTGTAACAGATTTTTTATTCTTTTGAGTACCAAATGCCAATGCAAAGTGAAATTGTCAGGAAATTTCTCATTTTCAGCTTTTCCAACTTAAATCCTTACAGTTTGGTTTAAGGTTATGTTCTATTGTTTTGAACCAAACGATACATCGAACCGTTGTCGAATACGGTCTATTGGATGTATTTTTGTTAAAAAGAACTATGTGCATAGGGTTTGCGTGGGTTCCTTTCAGCATAAATGCGTTCAATTGAGGCGTCGGGTGCAGGGAAGCCATTTCTTGTTTGCTATAGCTCAGAGTTTCTGCTGCTGATTTATCTTTAAGAGAGGGGACTGTTGGGTAAATTTTCTGAAAATTTTCGTTTCCAGCTGTGTACAATCATACAGAAAATTCAGCTAAAGTTTCAACAAATTTCATATATTTGCTTTCATCATAGTGGATGGAATGTTGGAAGAGATTCTGAAACACCGCAACCAAGAACTGCTTTTTCTGCACCTGCCGCTTCAATTTTTTGCCTGATATACCTCACCTACTTCAAGAGAGGCGAAATTATTTCCGTTCAAATTGTTTTCAACCGTTTTAAAAAGGGTCAAAAGAGGTGTTACGCAAGAGTAGAAACAAAAATGGGTTGCAATATCTATCAAAAAATTACTGAGATCAACACAAAGATCATTTTCCAAGGCCAAATGAAAACTATCTTTGTGGATTAAACCTATTTACATTTTCTCAAATCAGCAATGTTTTCATCGCATTTAAACTGTAGATTAGTAGATTTTAGACTAAGGTGGGCAGGCTCTTTTGTTATTTATTCAGCCAAAAACTTAAAGTTTGGTTTCCTCTTAGCTGCGTAAATCGCACAGGCAAATTCGATCTCAGCCAGAATCTGGAACGCATCAACTCTAATTGGATTATATTTTGCAATTAGGAATTCAAATTCCTCGCTCATCCGTAAAATCACCTACCTGCTTAGGGAAACCCATGGGACATATGCTATTTCTAAAATGAGCCAGAAATAGTGACGTAAAATGTAGTCCAATTCAACTCAAGAAATACGTTGACTAATGTTTGGCAGGGTGTTTTGAGCGCGCTGAGATATTACATTGAAAAAAAAAAATCTCGGTGTATTTACTAAGAAAAGGGTAAAATTACCAAGAATTCAGGGCTCTATTTGATCCCAGTTTTTCCTTGGTAAAATTACCACTTATGGAATTGGTAATTTTACCGAGAAATCTCGGTAAAATTATGGAACTTTCTCGGTAATTTTACTGGACCTTGGTAAAAACGCCAATATTTTATATCGACTGTGGTAGAATTACCGAGATAAAATGGCAAAGTTACCGGGAATTGATTACCAATAAAAGTGGTATTCCGACCTGAAAAAACAGTAAAAATACCGGTTTTTAGGTAAGCTTACCAGTCTGTTTTGGTAAAAGTACCAATAATTTGTAAAAAAAGTGAGATGGTAAAGGTATCAACGGATCTTGGTAAAAACGCCGAGAATTTTTTTTTCAGTGCACTTCAGTAGAAAGAAGGGGTGTACGATACGATCAATACGTCATTGATGTTTTCCTTTCTCTGCAAGCTGCGACCCTATCAAAATTAAACGTGGGTTTATGTTGATCGTAAAAGCTTTTTTAGGTCACGTAGAAGTGCGTAGAAGTTATCAATTTTCCCCGAATCCTCTCAATGTTCAATAAATCCGCACGACCAATATGTTGTGGTCGAGCGAAATAAGAGCCGAGTGGTGTTTATAAAAGAGAATACCAACTTTATTTACCCATTTAAAATATAACGCATCTGCTGCTGGCGTTAAAGCCAGGTACTTCCATGATGCAGTCATATACTTTCGATTTATTTTTGATGGAAACTATCAACCTATTTTCGTATCATCCAATGACCAGGAAATATTCTTATATTAGTCCAGGCGCCTGGTAGCTAAAAATGAGGCTACCTGGAATTTTGGGTACACAGCGATTTTTTTGGCTAACTTTATGTTTTCTGGGTCGCTGAATCCGAATCTGAAGTTTCCGCACGCGTATCTGGTGAGCATTTTCCGCTATTTTGAAAAAATGGCCTAAAAAGGCCTTTTTTTGCGGTTTTTTTGATATAGCGGCTACGGATGAGGAAAAGTCCCGGATTTAGCTAATGTTTTGAATAGCTGACATAATTTGGAAGAAAATGGT